CACAAAAGGACAAATACTGTATAATGACACTGTTACAAAGCAGGACTGACATGGGGGTTGGGGGGGGAACTAAGAAAAGAGGGCATTAAATAATGAACAGGCATTTAAATAGATGAGGGAAATAACTGTCTAAAAGAAGTATGTGATTAAATATTATTTGCATGACAACAGTCCAGAATAAGAGGTGCATAGCAAAGTGCACTTGGCTGGGGAGAGGGGAAATCATGCATCAATGAAAGAATCACTTTATGGAGAAACACAAACTGGCGGGGGGGCGGAAGGGAGGAAAATGTGCAACAATGAATGAATGGAAATCCAAGTTTTCTGTAAACTTTCGTTAAAATATCAATTAAAAAAATTTAAAAAGAAAAAAGACTAACGTGTACCTGATCAAATCCATGGTCTTTCCAATTACTTACAATGCATCTGAAAGTTGGACAATGAATAAAGAAAATACAAGAAGAATCTATGCCTTTCTGCTATGGTATTGGAGAAAAGTATGGAATATCTCACGGACTCCTAAAAGAACAAACAAATACATCCTGGAGAAAGTCCAACAAGGATGCTCCTTAGAGGCAAAGATGATGGAGGCATGTTGTTAGGAGGGACCAGGCCTTGGAAAAAGATATCATGCTTGGAAAAGTAGAGGGTCAGTGAAAGAGAGGAAGATCCTCAAGAAGATGGACTCACCCAGTGACTGCGACAATGGGCTCAAGTGTATCAGAGGTGTGAGAATGGCACAGAACAGGGAAAGATTAAGATGCGTTGTTTGTAAGGTGTCTATGAGTTGTAGCCGATTTGATGGCACCTAACAACAACACAGAGACTCCCTGTTTTTTTACAGCTGTGACTTGTTGCCAGCAGATCACCAGACCTTTCTTCCCGTGATGCAGTATTTGTGATGCTTCTTCTAAACCATGGACTTTGTTGCTTTCATCATATGGTTGTGTAGGACCATGCGAATGTGAGATGTTTGTGATACATTCAGGAAGTTAGACAGTTTGATAGTAATGTAAATAAGATAAATGATAGCTTTGGGTTGTTGTTGTTAGGTGCCGTCGAGTATGACTTACAGCAACCTTACGAAAAACAGATCTGAACCCTGTCCTAGCCTATGCCAGGCTCTCACTTCTGACACACAAGGGTCCATTGCAGCAGAGTCACCATGTCAATCCACCTGGTTGAGCGTTTTCCTCGCCTTTGCTGACCCTTTACTTTTCTATCCTTCCTAGCATCATGTCCCTCTCCAAGAAGCTCCTCCTAGCAACATGCCCAAAATATGTGAGGTGAAGCCTCATCATCTTTGCCTCCAAAGAACACTCTGGCTGCACTGTCTCCAAGATATGTTTGTTTTTTTGACTGTCCATGGGATGTTCAGTGCTCTCCTCCAACATGACAGTTCAAAGGCATCAATTCTTCTTCTGTCATACTTATTCATTATCCAGCTTGCATAGTAAGTGATCAGAAAAACCATTGCCTGAATCAGAAACACCTTAGTGCTCAAACTGGCATCACCACTCCTCAATAATTTGCAGATTTTCCTTATTTCCTGAATACTAGTATCAAGGGTTTCCTCTATACAGCAAATGGACAGACCAGTGCTATACCACTTAGAAGAATGACCAAAAACCATTAAAACCAGGTCTGAGGGCCACAGATTAAAATCACCCACCTTTGGCTTGGTAGCATCACTTTCTGTCCAGTAGGCCAGTAGAGCTCTATGTTGTTGTTGTTGTTGTTAAGTGCCATTTAGTTGTAGATGACTCATAGCGACGCTTAACACTGTAACATTGATGTGTCAAATGTGATAATGGTTACCCATGGTGGACAGTATTTGGTGGAGCTCCCCGACTAAAACAAGCTTGGAAGCAGGAATGGCATCCATTTCTGAAATAGCTTGCCTCTGGAAACCCTATGAACTTGGAGAAATGATGAAAGTTATACAAGTGGTCAGGTCTTTCATTCATAAGGTCGCTATGAGTAATCTACAACTCAACAGCACTTTACAACAACAACAACGAGAGAGCTCTGTTGGCCTAGTGGACAGAAAGTGATGCTACCAAGCCAAAGGTGGATGGTTTTAATCTTCAACCCTCAAGCCTGGTTTTAATTGTTTTTGGCCAAACATTGTTCTAAGTGGTATAGCACTGCTCTGTCCATTTGTTATACAGAGGTAACTCGTGGTTGCTGTGATGCTAAACACTGTGATACTGATGTGTCAAATGCAGTAATGGTTACCCATGGTGGACAATGTTTGGTGGAGTGCCCAGATTAAAACAAGCTTGGAAGCAGCAGTGGCATCCACTTCTAAAATAGCTTGCCTCTGGAAACTCTATGAATGTGGAGAAATGATGAAAGTTATACAAGTGTCCAGGTCTTCATTCCTCGGGTCGCTATGAGGTGTCTATGACTCAGTGGCACTTAACAACAACAACAACAGTATCAAGTAAGATGAAGTTATTGACAGTTTCAATCTCATCTTCATCCATTATGATGTTGTCTATAGGCTTAATGATAACACTTTTTTGAGTGGAATTATACAAAAAAGATATGTAGAACACTAATGTGAGGACTGGTCACTTTGGCCATCCCATCAAGTTTAAATTGAACTGGGAAAGACAGAAAAAGAGAAGGTGGGGAGAGAGAGGGGTAAAAAGAGAGAGAGAGGAAGGAAGGATGAAAGAAAAGAAGGAAGGAAGGCAGGCATTAAAAAAAAAAAAGAAACAAAAAATAAGGAGCTAACCACCATCTAGAAGAAAAGCCCAGAGTACAGTATATTCTTAGTACTTGAGATTCCTGTATGAACCAGAGTCAGAGAACTGTAATTATAGAGAGATAGTGAAATTATAGCAGTGGTGGTAACAGTGATAGCAAAGGTAGCAGAGAACCAAGGACCAGTGTGAGACAAAGCTGTGGGCCCCCAGGCCATGGAGGCAGAAATCTTAGTCCTTGCTGGTGAAGTGGTAATTTTGGACACCTGCTAGTGGGAGCCAGATCTACCAGCTCATGGAACAAGAGGCCATAGAGATGGCCTTACTGACAGAGTGGTGTGGCACACAATTGGCAGAGCTAGCTTTGCAATGCTTGTTTAAACAGGGCAGAGACCAAGGCCATGAGGCTGAGAGTCAGTGAGGTCTGCCTGTGAGTATACCTGAGGAGAGGCTGTCCAGACTAAATCTATCGTGAATGTTCCTGAATCTGAATTATAATCTGTTGTTTCTCTAATAAACCTCATAATTGTAAGTATTTCCTATGAATTCTGTGTAATCAGTGCAATGAATTATCAAAGACAAGAGAAGTAACAAGTACAGTGGGAGGGAGAGTTGGTGTTAGAATTGCTAAAAGGTATGGCATGTGGGACATGACAGATCTCATAGGAATCTGTTCTGTGCTGCTGATACTGTTGGTGGAGGATCTTTCTCTTTGTGAAGTTAACAAGGTCAGACATTGCCTCCTCCATACCCACCCCTCTGGTTTTATACTTCTTGACTCTGGTGGGTTCAAACCTGCAAATCTTCAGTTAGTAGTTGAGTATGTAACCTTTGGCACCATCCAGGGTCTTCTTTCCTAACAATCCTGTTGTTATTATGTGCCATTGAGTTGGAACTGACTCAAAGATGACCCTCCACCAGGTTTTGAGGCTGTAAATAACACAAGAAGAGACTGCCCGTCTTTTTGCCAGAGCCCTGGTAGATTTGAACAGCCTGCCTTGAGATTGCCAGTGCAACTCTTTACTCACAAGAGTTCCCACATAACAAGCTACCATTTGTTGAACACTTACTACACACATAGTCACTTTACTTAAATATCTAATTGAGTCCTCACAGCTCTAGTAGATTTAAAAATGAGGAAGCCAAGACTTAAAGAAATTAAATTTGTTTAAAGTCAAACAGGTTTTAAGTGCTATAGATTTAAACCTAAATCTCTCTTCATTTTTAAACACTGTACCACACAACTTCTTATTGTTACCCAAGGCTCAGGGAAGTTATGATTTATTTGCCTAAGGTCATGTAAATAATAAATGACAGATCTGGGTTTTCAATATGAGCCTCTGTCCTTCCCATACTTTATGCTTCATGGTCACAAGTAAGTGGGGATTGCAGGAAACTGGAGCACATCTCCCGTGGAGGTCACAAAAAACATTTCAAACATTTTATAACTTTGCCTTCCAGAGGCTCCACTGTATAAGGTCTCAGGAGAACCAAGAATCCACCACTCACTGTTCCTGAGTAGCCCACATCCTAGGTAATGCAAATGGAGCCAGAAGTCATTTGACACTGAACTTTATTTGTTTTGACCATCTTGCTGTCCACCCTGCTGGGAAAGAGAGACAATGTCCATGAGGGTGGCTCTCTGCAGAGGGCCAGGGACATGCCAAAATAAACATTGTGGTCAGGCCTCAGGAACAGCCGTGGAGGACAGGTTACAGGTTCCGTGCTGCGAGTCAAATGCCCAATCACATCACCTTCCTTCCCGTCTCTAAATGGGTGCTGGTTCTTCAAATGGCACCAGAATTCCACCCTGGAAACTAATAAATGACTTTGTATCCAAAGGCTTGATTGAAAAGAACTTGAAGTTACTCAGTAGCTGATGAAAATCCAGTTCCCTTCACTGGTTTCACCAGTGGGAGTGAGAGATAAGGGGAGTCCAGAAGCAAAAATGAACTTGAGAATTTCCAGTAAATATCGGGTAAGGGCTGGCAAACAGATGCCACCGGAGAAGTCGTCCAAGGTATGGTATAAACTGGAGTTTTCTCCGAAACATTTTCCCAGGAACTATTTGTGCTTCATAACCAGTGCTGAGCAAGTCAGGGCTTGCTCCCCAGACCTCACACCACTCACTTGGAGCTGCTTCTCTACCCCGCTTGTTCAGATCCTCACAAGATTGCTGCTCCCCAAAGCTGGTAAGATGGCAGGGTTTTCCATTAATAAAACAATCCTTATCTCTGTTTCTACGGTTGGCTCCAAAGGAGGTTTTCTATGTCTCCAGGTTTTCCTTTCCTAAAGAGGAGTTGATCTGAGAAAACTGAAAAGGAAACACTTCCCAGGGGTTAGCTAGTCTCTCCTGTTATTCCAGCTCTAGCCACTTGGGGGCCCCAGAATATCAGGCACCAGGCTTTGCTCCCAGGGAAGGCTGTTGGGTGGGAAGCCACTGCCCAGCAAGCTTGGGGCAGTTCTGTTACACCAGCACCTGAGGGCGGGCGAGTGCATGAAGTCTCAGGTTTCAGGGGGATGCCAGTTGCCTGTCTAAAGGCTCCTCTGTTCCTTGAAATTGTACAGAATGTCTCTTGTGGCTTTCCTCCCTCCCTCCTTTTTTCCTGTTGACTCTCCCCATCTGGCTCTCTGAATCACCAGACTCCACGGGAAAGCAGATGTTGACTTAACTTCTTTCAAGCCAACGTCAGCTCCCTCCCATGGAGTGAGGGCAGGCAGGAAGGTGAAAGGGTGGGGCTCTCCAAATTGTGAGGGAAGATTGGGAATCTCGGAGGCAAGGACCTGGACAAAAACGTTTTCATTCCCAAGGGATAGAGGGAATCAAGGCTCCCAACACTGGCCTCAATGCTGGCTGTAGAACTCGGGTCATGAGGAGGAGGGACACACAGGGTGGAGGTGTTGGTAGTTTGGGTGCCAGCCCTTACTGGCTGAGGTAAAGTTCTCATCTCTTGCCAACAGCATCCCCATGACTGAAAACCAGGCCAGGCTTCAGACTTGGGGATAGGGACCAAAGGCTCCTTCTTGTCTCATCTGGGCCCATAAACCTCCACTCTTATGCAAGTCTTTTGGAGAAGCTGCCAGGGAAGACTTTCTAGAACCTCCTTTTATACTCATTGCTCCAACTTCTCTTCTCTTTTCTCTTCCTGAGGGATTTTCTTACGGGCAAAGAAGCCAAGCTGTAGAAGAAGAGATAAGAGTCATCACCAAATGTCCCCACTGGGGACCCTGCCAACAACCCTCAGACTTATCTGAAGTCTGCACTTTGTTCTGCTTCCAAAAACAGGATTAAAATTTATTTTATTCAGCATATTTTAACTTGTGGAATAAAGTGACAGAGATTCAGACTTGACACCCACAGCCTCCTCAGCTGCCCAGCACTCATCCTGTTCTCCCAGCTGAATTAATGATCCCTCAGCGCATCGGCACCCTGCCCATGCTGCTCTCTCTAAAGCAATGCTTACCTTCCAAAGGCAGAAGATAAGGAGGGCAAGCAGAAGGAGACCTCCCAGGACGCTGCCTACGAGGATCCAAAGGGAGATGAGGACTCGGTGGGCCTGAATTACCTCCAGGAGGCTCTGAGGAGGAGAACTGGTTTACTTGAAGCTTTTACTCTAGGTAGCCTCACTCCACATTATAGCAAAGTCACACCCAGAAGAGAAGAAATAACAACCTTTTCCTATTTAAAGGAAAAGTACTGAGGCAAAAATGCTCCGAGGCAGTGGACCACTGCCAGCAGCGTGGTTTACTTTTCACTCGCCAATGGCTATTTAATGTGACGCCTCAGCTCTGGGGTGCCCGCTACCCCATCCCCACCCTCACTGTGTTCACAGCTCCAGCTCTGCCCCCAGCTCCACCTCACTCCAGCGGGAAGCTTCAGTCAGCTGTAGGACACTGCCGTCCTCGGTTCCCATCTCGAATGTGCTGACCACTATCAGAGACTTGAACTTGGCCTATGGAAAAAGGAGATGGGAAGGCATTTGAAATGGCCCATCATCAGGTGGGATGGTTCTCTGGAACCCTCAGGACCAGAAGAAAAGTGTAGATGGAAAAATCTCTGGGCTGTAGAGCACTGTTTGCTCTGACTGAAATACATTCCACTCCCCTTTCCTTTGCTAAGCCCTGCCCATCTTTAAATTAAGGTTTAGATGCCATTTTTATTCTAGAAACGAGGCAAGTCATTTCCTTCCATCTCCCACCACTTTAGATGAGGGTATAATCTGCTGTTTGTTGTTATGGGCCATCAAGTTGGAACCAACTCAGAGCTGATCCTGTAGCGGCTTTTCAGGGGCAGTAAAGCACACGGGGGAGATTGTGCATTTTTCTCTTGTGGAGCAGCTGGTGGATCTGAAGCACATGCCTTTGGGTTTGCAATGCAGCTTCTTATCTCTGGGCCACCAAAGCTCCATATTCTGGTTAGCTCTTTGTTTTTTCACAACTGAAATCTAAGATCCTTGAACACAAGGGCTCCTCTTACTAATTTTGGCAATCCTAGTGCTTAGTGCTGGGTACAATCTCAAGTACATAATGGTTAATCAAGAAATCTTTGTTTAAAGAATGAATAAAACAAAACCCAAACCCACTGCTGCTAGTTCCAACTCATAGTTACTCCACAGAACAGAGCAGAAATTCCCCAGAGGATTTTCAAGGCTATATCTATCTTCAGCTAGGTAGCTTGGGTGTTTGAACCACTGACATTTCAGTTAGTAACTGAGTATTTAGCCACTACACTACATGGCTCTTTGAAAGAATGGATAGATTAAAAATACCATCAATGAGGAATACAAAGGAAACGAGATTTTGAGAGGGTAGTCTCCCAGATTTAACTCTTCTAACAAACAGATTCATCCTGGAAAGGGTTAAACCGGGTGGCTCCTTGGAGGCAAGGATTCTGAGCCTCCGTCTGACATACTTTGGACATGTTGTGAGGAGAGACCGGTCCTTGGAGAAGGACATCATGCTTGGGAGGGTGGAGGGACAGCGCAGGAGGGGAAGGCCCTCTATGAGGTGGATTGATTCAGTGACTGGGATAATCGGGATGGGTGTGTCAGAGACAGTGCGATTGGCACAGGACAGAGTGGAGTTTAGGGCTGTTGTACCTAGGGTCGCTATGAGTCGCAAGCGACTCCACGGCACATAACAACAAAGTATGCTTAGGGAGCTCTGGTCGCTTAGTGGCAAGAAGCTGAGCTGCATCCTGAAGGCACGTGGTTCTACAATGCCAGCTGCTCTGCAGGAAAAGGATGGCTAATCTCCTCCCGTGTGATTACCTGCCTCTGAAAACCCGCCGGAGGGTCAGCTATGGGTTGGGTCTGACTCAACAGTACACAACAACAACAAAAGGTATGCTTAAGGAGCTCTGGTGGCCTCGTGATAAGAAGTTGCACTGCAATCTTGACGGCACGGGTTCTAAATCACCAGCTGCTCCACTCTCATCACCTGTGATTAACTGACTCTAAAAACCTGTCAGGGGTCAGCTATGGGTCGGTTCTGCCTCAAAGGTATACAACAACAACAACAAATTACGCGTATATCCCAGGGATCTTGTGTTGTTCAAAGTAGGTGGCAAATGTAAAAACAGAATATAAACCTATAGAGCTAAATAAATGTTGTTGTTGTTGTGTACCAACAAGTCAGAAGATTTTTAGAGGCAGTTAATTGCACAGGAGGAGATTGTACATCTTCTCCTATGGAGTAGATGATGGATTCAAACCACATTCCTTTGTGTTGCCAGTGCAACTCCTTACCACTAGGCCACCAGGGCTCCCAAATATATGTAATGTGTTATCTTTAAGATGGCATTTCTCTACTCAAGAACCCACCCCTGACTGAGATCAATTCTATTTCTTTAACTTTAGACATTTCACATAATCTAGATCCCTCTGAACTATGTGCATGGACGATCATTTATTCACTTAGGAAAAATACAATAAGCATCTCTGTCATTGGAGGGATCCTCCTCAGTGCCTGTTACATAGCAGGCACTTACCTGATGGATCATTAATTGGTTGGAGTTAGGTATTCTGTAAATGCTGACTGGTTATTGACACAGCACTAATGGGTGGTAAAGGAGAAAAATCTAAGGATAATGACTCGCTTTTATTGAATGTTCACTATATGCCGAGATCATTCTTTAATTTATTCTTCTTCACAGCAGCCATTTGAAGTTTTATCATCTCCACTTGGAGATGAGAAAATAAGAGCTTAAAGGAATCAAACAGATTGCTCAGAGTCAAATAGCTAACAACAAGCAAAGCCAGAATTGGAATGTAAGTCTGTCTATCGTTTAAGTCCATACTGAAAGCAGAAGCACAAGGGGAGAGTAGAAGAAAGGGAAAGGCTTACTCTCCGGAAAAATTCATTGTGAACCAGCCTCAGTAGTCCAATGGAGACCTCCGTTCCCTTTGCCAGCCGCCCAAGGTGGCACCTCACGACCTGACACCGGGTATTGCTCTCATTCTATAAGAAAAGAGCAAGAAATCAGGACTCTGGGCTGGAAAGGTCCCCTTCCCTTCAATGCTGTCCCCATGTCTCAAGGTTCCCTTGACTTCACTGCTCCCTGCCCGACTGCCCACTCTGGACTCTGCTTCTCGTGACTCATACCAGTCTGCTTGTGTGCTCAAGTTCCTCAGTGTGCACAGGGGCACCAGGGGGCTCGGTCAAGTTCTGCACTGTGCAGCTGGCCTAGAGGAAAACACAGCTTAATCGACCCTCCTGATGGTGAAGACCAGTTATCCCACCCACATGCATGGTCATCCTTTCCTGGATAATCACTTTCTCTCTTCTTAAAGAGCCATACATGTAAAAAGAGAGAGTCTCATTCCCAGAACCCAGAAAATTTAAAGCTGTGACATGTGGGAGCCCACCAGCTCAAGGCGGCAGGGTCCCACACATTTCTAGCCCCGACTCACATTGTTGGTGATGACCTGAGATAATGACAAGAAGTAATGGCCCCCATGGGCCACAGCTGGAAGGAGGGCTGAGATAATGAGGCCACTGACTACATAGCAGCCAAGGTTCTGCACCTAAGAGGTAGATTCAAAATGGAAGGATGTGGGAGACAAAGACAAAAGAGGACCCCCTCCCCTTTTAACCCCAGATACCATTGAAATCTGTAAGACACTTTCTCCACCCTTTTTCCACACAGCTCTTATGCCTCCCCTTCCCCCTACTCAGGTCCCCTCCAACTTCTCACCCGAAGTGTGGTTTTGAATTCAGGGCCTGGACCTATTGGGAAGGCCCCATATGGGTGAACCTCATAGCGGTGCAGGGTTGACTCACTGTGTGAACACCAAATCAGAAAGTACATGATTACAGTCATGACAGACACAGGGGCAAATGATCAGCATGCAGACATGAATTCAGGACAGGCATGACCAGTAGATGCAGAAAGAGGTGGGGTACATGGAGCTAGAAATGCGCTATGACCCAGCCTTTATGTCTACATCCTACATTGCCTCCCCTCAGCTCCAATCCTCAGATACTAGACATCACCCTATCCCTAAGAAAAGTAAGGTGCCCAAAAGAAAAAGTTCACCACAAATGAAATGGTGCAGCCTCAAGCATTTGAGGTCTGTGAACACAAACACTAAAGAACATGGAAGGAGAAGAGGAAATATAAAAGGCATGAGTCGAGGATCGGACCGGGTACCAGCTGGGGGCTGGGCCGTACCTGGAGAACAGGAGATGAGGCTCGTACTGGACGTAGGCTGAGGCTTGGGCTGTATTATCTTGAAGGGTCTCATTTGTCTCCAGGCTATTGCTGTAGTCAGGGGAAGAGGTTCACATCCCTGTCCATCCTCAGACTTCACTCCATGGTAGTAGAGGAGTCAAGACTCTACGGGAGGGGCTGTGGGAAAGTCCCCTTTGCCTCACCTGCTGGCAATCAGTCTCACGATGACCTGGCTCAGGAGGGCAGAACAGCTGAACTCAAACTCTAGCAGAAAGGTCACCTGTAGGCAGGGGACATGGGTCACTGTCAAGTCTTCTTCATGGACAACTACAGAGGAGAAGCTCTGTGTGTCTCCCTTGACCTCCCAGGCCTCCAGCTCCTCTTCTGCCAGAGGCCCTTTCTCATCCTGGAGCTTAACTTACCTTGGCCCCAGTCTGGAAGACAGGGTGTCCTACACTGCAAAGCCGGGCATGAGAAGAAGGAGCCGCACATTCCACCTTCACCAGGCTGTCCCTCTGAGGACAGAGTAATTGGGGTGGAGGCTGGAGCTGGGGCTGCAGCTGTCAGCCAGCTCCCCTACCACTGAGCCAAAGGACCTCAAGATCAAAGCCAATACCCCAGCCTTCTTCCTCCTTCTTTTCTCCCCTGGCAAAAGCCTCCTACCCCCAGGGCACCTGAGGAGTGAGGCTGGCCAGGTGGAGGTTTCTGGAGAAGCTGAGACTCAGGCTAGTGTTGTAGGCATTCTCCTTCTTGTTCTCCAGAGTTGCTGACACGAGCACTTTCTTTCGGCCACCTCGAACCACAAATGGGGCTTTTCTAGGAGTAACAGAGAAGGGAGAGCACAGGCGTCAAAAAGGGGGCCAAACACTTCACTTTTGTTATTATGGGTGAGAGACATTTCCCCAGCTCCCTTCACGCCCCTTCTTATCCAGCTCAGATCACTTTAGTTTGGGTCAGTTCATGTTTATCCCACCTGGAGCCTTTGATGTCCATATGAGCAAGAAGCACCAGGTCTGTGACACATTCATTGTCAGGGCCGCAGTCCTTTGAGAATGGGACCTGGAGGGGAGAGAAGGAGCTGAAGGCCAAGAGGAAAGAAAAGGAGAAAGGAATGGAACTGGATGAAAAAGTAAAAAGAAAGAGAGTGTGTCTACTTTGATTAGAGGGGTCCCACATCAGGTCTGACCGTGGAATCTCATGTCCCCTCCCTCCCCTTTCTCTGGGATTCACTGGGAAGGGCAGATCTAGGTCTAAGGAGCAGGGTAACGCGTGGCATCACTGACCAGCTTTTGTACGGAGGTGGGAGAACCCTCATCCAGCACTGGCCCTGGCTTTGTGGTGTTGTCCAAGGAAAAGGTCACAGTCAAAGCCACTGGTCGGAGATAATCTGATGTATCCTGAGGGAAATCAGAACCGAGGGTCATGGAGAACCAGAGTCAAGGCTGTATCTTAGGTTCCTGACAGGATGTAAGAAATACAGTAATAATGTACTGAGTACTTTCTGAAGGCTGAGCACTGCTCTAAGGTTTTACCAACACTATTAAATGCAATTCTAACCCAACTCCTATGAGGTAGTTATTATTGCTCCCACTTAAGAAAAGGAAATTAAAGTTTAAAGCAAGTGACTTGCTGGAGTTGATAAATGGCAGAGCTAGGAGTTAAATTTAGATTAACCTGACTCCAGGGTTTGAATTCTCTCTCTCATTTTTCTGGTTTAAGTTTCCATGCTGATCCAGCCTAAACTGCTCCCTCTTCCCTCACTCCCAGGCCCTGCGGCAAAGCAACACTGGCCCCCTCTCACCAGTATATGGAAGTGTAGCTGCTCACAAGTGATGTTGCCCACACTGAGCCCGAGGCGCCGAGGGGACAGCCTTTGGCCAGAGCCATCAAATGCAGCACGCACCCCAGCTGTCCACTCATCCAGGGATGCTGTGAACCACATATCTAAAGGAAGGAGGCAAGGTGATGGTGGACAGAGGTCCAGAACAAGCAGGCAAGGGGCTGAGTTGGCTAGGATGCACTACAGTCACTCACGAAACCGGCGATTCCAGCGGCCAGGGGCGCGGGAAGTCACTTGGAAGCAAAGAGCTGCAGTCAGGCAGGTGGCCTCCTGGCCTCGCCGCTTACAGTCCCGCTGAACTACGCTGATGGCTGGTGGCGTCACATTCAAGGAAGGAGTCAGGCGGATGATAGGCCGGGAGCTGAAGATGGATCGGGAAAGAAATTTCTAGGAGGAAGTCAGCCCTTTGAGAAGGGCAACTCCAGTATTTGACTTTTCCTGGTGAAGGAAAAGAATGATGCTATCTTTTACTCTCTCCTCCACCATAGGAGCAAGAGGCACATGTGTCACCCTGCCCCGGACCTCCTGACATAATAAAATGCTTATTCTAGAAGCTAACATTTAGTAGCGCTTAATGTACTTCATGTGTAGCCAAGCAAACTGGTCCCTGTTGTTGTTATGGGCCCTTGAGTTGGTATCAACTCATAGTTGACCCTCCAGTGGGTTTTCATGTAGATCACATGGGAGGAGACTGTTCATCTTTCTCTTACAGAGGAGCTGGTAGATTCAAACCACCTGCCTTTGTGTTGGCAGCACAACTCCTTACCGACTACAGCACCTAGGGGTTAGAATTTTGCAAAATGGCTTTTCTATCTATTGCCTTAGAACCACCACCACCCCCACCACCCCCAGAGAACATGGTCTCAAGCTGCCTCAACTGTGGACACACTGTTTGAAGTTGATCAATATCTTCAACATCATCAACAATTGCAAAAGGTCAACATAAGAGAGAGAGAGTGAGCAAAAGAGACTGAAGAGACTGTCAAAGCATAGCCTGAGGGGGCCCTGGAGTTGGAGCCACAGTTAAAGGTTTTGCTTCTGGATGATTGAAGGAAGAGCTGACTTGGGATTGCTGTGAAAGGCAGCTTGCTGGACGACTGAAGGAAACCAGAGGCTTCTTGCATTTGTGTTGCTGCACTGAACATGGACTATCACTGTGTGGCATCCTTTGCCTTCTCTCACCCTCCACAACATGTTTTCCTAATAAACATCACAACTTTTATAACAAATATCAGACCCAGTGATTAAAGGTGCAACAGCCTGGGGTACTATGTCTTACCAAGGGATTGGTTGTATATACTGGGTGTTATTGATGGGGACAGATCTCCTTTGTGGAGATAGTGGAAATCAGACTAGGCCAACCCCATGTTGCACTTGCTCCTTTTAGAGCACCAGAGCTGCACAGACTGAACTCTAGGACTTTAATTGTCTGTTAATGGAGGCTTGAGTGTTGCCATAGAACTAAACAGGTATCCACAGACCTTCCAGATTAAGACAGTCTGGGGGAAAAATGCCTGGCAATCTACTTCTGAAAGTCAACCAACTGAAGTCCTATGAGTCACAATGATCTGCTCCTCAAACGATCACAGGAAAGCACAAGACTGGGCAAGGTTATGATCCACAGAACACGGGGTCGAGATGAGTTGGGCCACTTTAACCACAGCAGACAACAATGTACTAGGTACTATGTTAAGATCTTAGCATGGATTATTTTATTAATCCTCACAGCAAGCCTTTAAGGTAGGAACTATTATCAGTCTTATTTTAGAAATTGGAAAATGGAGGTACGGAGAGCTTAACATGAGAAAAAGAACCCCAATCTACATCTTTGATGCCAAAGTCCTTGCTTTAATAGTTCTGCTATGCTGTCTCTTGAGACCTGAGCTGGACCCTCTCACCTGAGGAGGATGGCTGCCCCCTGGGCACCCACAGCAACATCGACCAAATCATCCCCATCCAGATCTAGCCGGCCATCCACACTTCGGCCAAAGTAGCTGAGGGCCTGTGGCATGGAGACAGCAGCAATACGCTGAGAGAAAAAGAAGAGAGAATGAGGGAGGGACATACATATTCCTACCCAGGCCTCCCACTTGGCATTCTCTAATCCTCCTCTCAATCACAAGAGTCAGAGAAACTTGTCTATGCTTAGGGGTCTCTAGGACCATAATCTATATTCTCTCTTACTTCCTCATTTTTTTGCTTCCTGATTAAAACACTTACTACTCAGTTTGGGATTAGTAGCATCATGATAGATGGTGAAGAGATTGAGATTGTTAACAGCTTCAGTTTGCTTGGCTCTACAATCAACACTTTTGGTACCAACAGCCAGAAAATTAAAAGACAAATTGCATTGGGAAAGTCTGCTGTTAAAGACCTCCCCAAAGTACTGAAGAGCAACAATATCAGTGTGGAGACTGAGGTGCAAAGGCCATGGTCTTTGCAATTACTTGCTAAGCATCAGAAAGCTGGGCAATGACTAGGGATGATAGAAGGGGAATTGATTCCTTTGAGCTGTGGTGCTGGAGAAGAGCATTGAATATACCATGGACTGCTAAGAGAATGAACAAGTTTGTACTGGTGAGGGTGAATCCAGGCTGCTCCTTGGAGGCAAAGATTCTGAGGCTTCATCTGACATACTTTGGACATGTTGCAAGGAGCGATCAGTCCTTGGAGAGGGATGTCATTCATGGTTGGGACGGTGGAGGGACGGTGCAGGTGAAGAAGACCCTCGATAAGATGGATTGATTCAGTGACTAGGGTAATGGAGGTAGGTGTGTCAGAGACAATAAGATTGGCACAGGATAGAGAAGGTTTCAAGTCTATTGTACATAGGGTTGTGATGAGTCACAGGCAACTCAATGGCACATAAAAACAACAACAACAACCCAGTTTGTCAAGACAGAGTGGCTTTTGACAATCAAAAACACCTTTCCTCATTCATCCTGACCACTATGCCCCTGCCTCATGGGAGCATTTCTGACCTGTGCAGGATGAGGTCTGATTCCACTCTTTTTCCCATGATACAGGTACAGTGCACCCCGGTGCCCATCTTCCAGAGGCGCCCCCACAGCCACGTCAGCAAAGCCATCTTGGTTCAAGTCAGGAAGGGCAGCCATGGCAAAGCCAAGCCGAGCATCCTGAGGGGGTTCTGGCTGAAGCATTCCCCGGAGCATCAGTAAAGGCTGCTGAAGGAGGTGAAAAAGACAGAGGATGCGGATCTGAAAATCCTTTCGATCAGTCCTCAAAAGTCTCTACTGTTCCTCCCTCGCCCCTCTCACAAGTCCTAGCAGGTCTTAGAAGTCTCACCTGGCCTACCAGATACACATAAACACGTCCTGTCTCTTTGTTGAGGGGTCCAAGGAACATGGGAGCAGCAACAAGTAAGACATCAGTTATTCCATCCCCATCTATATCCAAAGGGCAAAGTTCACTGCCAAAGTAGGAGCCAATCTGTAGAGGAGTAGGCCGTGGGGAGCCAGGAGAAAAGCGGACACGTGGACTTGGTGGGCAGCACTCACCAGGCTGCCACCTGGACTTCACACTGCTGACAGGCTCTGCCAATCACAATTTAGCACAGACTTCTGGGAAACTTGCGCCCCTTCATTCTCTTTTCCCTCCCTGCTCAGAGGCACTTCAGAAATCCAAGAGTCTCACCCTCCCTCAGACGTCCTACCTGCTCTCCATGGAGGCTCTGGGCAACTCTTACTGCACCATCTCTCTTAAGCTGGAAAACAATGACCTTTCCTCGATGTTTAAATCGAGGCGCCCCTGAGATAAAAAGACGACGTCCACCTTGCAAAAGCATGGAGGAAACAGAGTAACCTAGAGCGGGAAAGGAATTAGGATGAAAGGGATAGTAATTAGAGTCAGAGTGGGAGGGTACTGGAGGAAGTCCTAGGGACATAACAGGAGGTCATGGAGAGGCAGGAATTTGGTGAGTAAAGAGGGAGTCAGTCCCTCACACCTCTCAACTCAGGAAGTGCCCCCCTTTATTCCTATTCCTCTGCAACAATTTGCTGCTTACCCAGATAGGCTGCATGGTTCTGCAATGCAGGAGGAAATTCGTCTTCCAAGGCCGTCCGTGGGGGGAAAAGGCGGTGACCTTCTTCAAGCCAAAGAACTGAGCCCCCCCAGTCATAGGCCCCCACCATTCCAAAGAGAATCCCATCCTATGGAGCAGAACCAGATGAAGTTATTTAAAAGATAGTAGGGAATAAGAGAAAAAATTCCACAGAAGTGAGAGGGTCACTGAGGGTATGCTGGGATCAGTTAGAAAGGAAAAGTGGGTAGATGGTTAAAGCAGCAACATGGCAGGGTCCTAGGGCTGAGGTTGTCTAGTCCAGGGGTTAGGAATGATGAAAAGGTCAGAGGTTGGAAAGGGTCATAGAAGGGGTCAGACTCTGTTCAACCTTCAGTCGATGAGTAGAGAAACCAATCTGAGACATTTCCAGTCCAAATGAGCTTTCATTCTCTCCATGAGACCCTGGGGAGTAAGAAAATACCAAGGGAAACATTCACCTACTGAATCCACTCCAGAACTTCCCTCCCTTCCCCACCATTTCTCCAGTATCCCATTCACCCTCAAGGCCAAAAATCCGGTCTCCAAGTGCATCCACAATGTCAGTTAGTGCAGCCTCATCTGTTACATTGAAGAAGAATCGCTCATCTGGATCACTGGCAATAGTTCGGATTTCCTGCAGGAAAGAACTGGGGTCTCGCTGGCGTCGGAGATAATGACCAAGGACCTGCGGTCAGGAGATCAAGGTGAGGTCTGTTAGCAGTGTAGAAGGAAGGACAGAGCCAGCTAAAGAGAAAGGAGAGTAATACACGTGACTTTTGGAGCTCGGGTGGCCTTAGTGGAAAGATACTGCACTGCAATGGGCAATCTCCTCCAGCATAATTTGTTGTGGGCCCTTGAGTCAGAAGCGACGGCTTTTCAGAGGCAGTTAATAGTACCAGAGGAGATTGCCCATCCTTCTCCCACGGAGCAGCTGGTGGATTCAAACTGTGTGCCTTCAGGACTGCAAGGTAGCTTCTTGCCACTAGACCACCAGAGCTCCCAGCATGATTTATTGCCTCTGAAAACCTCTTGGAAGGTCAGCTGTGAGTCAATTTCCTTGTCCTTCTTAAGTCCTCATTGCTCAATGTCTCCCCTGTACTTCATTAAATCCTCTGGGATCTAAGTCATTTCTCACCGCAATCCCATAGCGGGTCACTCTTCCAGCTTCACAGGCTTTCAGTGCCGTGGGCAGGTCCTCCCCATCATGTGATTCTCCATCTGTGACAACCACCAGAAGCCTGGCTGCCTCAGGTCGGCCCCCACGGGACTGACTGAAACCCTCTGTGCTAAGAAGAGAGAAGATGTGAGGGGGTCAGATGTATGCAGACACACCAACACATTCATCAGATTGAAGGGCAATGTCAGCGGCAGTTCATTGAGGTCAGGTGGTTTCATTGAGTTCAATGTCCACCCTCCTGGCATTGTCCATCATGGAGACTGGCACATGGTAAGAGTGTAAACATTCACATGTCATAAAACACACAGAGCAGCATATTATCAGTGCAAATAAGTATAAAGCTTGTTTATATAATGATTCACTAAATAGATACTGCATTTGGGAGAATAAATATTCTCCCAAATGCAGTATCTCAGGATAACTTATCCTGAGATGGGAAAAGGACTAGAATATGAGTTAGCAGGGAATGTAAAGGCCAGGATGAAAGTTGGCCTGGTGGGATAGAGTGAGAAAGTTCTGTCTGAGGAGATAAATGAGGCAGAGACATAGACACAGAAATGCAACAACACAGAGCTCTGTCACAGTCACCGTCTGCTTCCTGCCACTCACTAAAGTGCACACACAAGAGCAAACACACCATGCTCCACATCCTTCTGTGGTGAGTAGAGACAGAAGTCTTAAAAGCTTCTGAGTGGCATCAAAGGTGCAATTATTGGACTCTATATGTCTGAAACAAAGAAGAACAAGGAAAATCAAAGGTGTATAGAAAACAACTGGTCCATTTGACAAAATCCAACACCTCTTCCTGATTAAAACACTCAGCAAAATAGGCATAGAAGAAATTTTCTCAACATTGTGAAAAGTATATGCGTAAAACCAAGAACCAATATCATTCTCAATGGAGAAAGACTATTAAGCATTCTCCTTGTGAACAGAGGCCAGACAAGGACACCCACTGTCATCACTCCTATTCAGTATTGAATAGGAAAATACAACAAGAGAAGGGGTGGGGGAGGCATCCAAATCAACAAAGAGGTGGTTAAACTGTCACTATATGTAGACGTTATGACAGTGTACACAGAAAACCCCAAGGACTCAACAAAAAACTGTGAGAGCCAGAGAACCAAGTTAGTAGAGTGGCAGGATATAGGTTAATATACCAAAGTCAGTGGGATTCCTCTACAGTAACAAAGAAAACACAGAGACAGAAACCAAGAAAGAAATAACATTTACAACTGTTGTTATTCTGTGCCACCAAGTCAGCTGTGACTCATAGTGACCCCATGCACAATAGCTCTGAACTCTGTCCTAGCCTGAGCCAATCTCACTGTCTCCAATACACTTACCCTATTACCCCAGTTATTGTGTTAATCCATCTCATCCAGGGTCTTCCTCTCCTGCATTGTCCCTCCACCATTCCAAGCATTATGTCCTTCTCCAAGGATTGGTCCCTCCTGGCAACACGCCCGAAGTATGTGAGATAGAGCTTCAAAATCTTTGCCTCCAGAGAGCAAGTCGGTTTAATCCTCTCCAGAATAGACCTGTTTGTTCTCTTGGCAGTCTATTCAAAGGCATCAATTCTTTGTCTGTCATTTTTATTCACTGTCCAGCTCTCTGATGCATAGCAAATAATTACGAACACCATGTCAGATGAGGCAAACCTTAGTCTCTAGAATAACATCTTTGCACTTCAACCCTCTGGAAAGGTCCTGACAGCAGACTTTCAAAATCCAATTCATCTTTTTATTTCCTGGCTGCTGGTTCCAAGAGTGTTGATTATGGATAGTCAACCACAAATTGAGATACTTAGGAATAAATCTAACTAGAGACACAAAAGACCTTTACAAAAAACCCTACAAAACACTTTGTTGAGAAACAATAAAAGGCTTAAATAAAAAGTGTTCCCTGTTCATTAATAGGAAGACTCAATATAGAGAAAATGACAATCCTACCAAAAGCAATCTATGTGCTTAATGCAATCCTAATATAGATATCAAAGCCATTTTTCAAGGAGATTAAAAAGACAATTGCCAAGTTTATTTGAAGGGTAAAGAAATCATGAATAAGCAAAACACTTCTGAAAAGCAAAAACGAAGTGGGAGCCTTACCACTCCCTGACCTCAAAACCTACTATATAGCTTTAATGACCAAAATAGCATGGTACTAGTACAATGACAAGCACGTAGGCCACTGGAACAGAATTGAGAACCCAGAAATTAACCCATCTATGTTGTTGTTGTTATGTGCTGTCATGTCAAGTCTCTTGCAACTCATAGCAACACTATGTTCAACAGCTCTGAACCCTGCTCTATTCTTTGCTAACATTATTGTCTCTGACACACTTAACTCCATTACCCCAGTCACTGAATCAGTCCATTTTATTGAGGGTCTTCCTCTCTTGTGCTGTCCCTCCATCCCTCCCAAGCATGATGTCCCTCTCCAAGGACTGGTCAGTCCTTGCAAAATGCCTAAAATATGTCAGATGAAGCCTCAGAATCCTTGCCTCCAAGGAACAGGCTGGTTTTACCCTCTCTCGGATAAACCTGTTTGTTCTCCTAGCAGTCCATGGTATATTTGATACTCTTCTCCAGAACCACTGTTCAAAGGCATTGATTCTCTTTCTATCATCCCTAGTCATTGTTCAGCTTTCTGATTCATAGCAAGTAATTGGGAAGACTATGGCCTGAATCAAGAGCACCTTAGTTCCTAGACTGACATCATTGCTCTTCAGTACTCTGGAGAGGTCTCTGAGAGCAGACTTTCCCAATGCAATACATCTTTTGATTTCTTGGCTGCTGGCTGCTGGTACCAAGAGTGTTGATTGTAGAGCCGAGCAAACTGAAGCCGTTAACAATTTCAATCTCTTTACCATTTATCATGATGCTGTCAATTGGCCCAGTGGTGAGAATCTCTATTTTCTTGATGTTGCACTTCAATCCATATTGAAGGCTGCAGTCCTTGACCTTCTGCAGCAAGCGCTTCAGGCCCTCCTCAGTTTCAGCAAGGAGGATTGGGTCATCTGTATAACACAGGTTGTTGATAAGTCTTCCTCCTATCTTGATGCCACATTCCTTCTCCTAAAGGACAGCCTCCCAAATGATTTGTTCTCCATATAGATTGAAAGGGTATGGAGATAGGACACATCCCTGGCATACACCCTTCCTGATTTTGAACCATGCAGTGCTTCCTTGCTCTGTTCTGATGACTGCCTCCTGGTCCAAGTATAGGTTTCACGTAAGCATCTATCTATTGTCAACTGATATTCAACAAGGAAATAAAACATACCAAATGGGGAAACCATACCTCTTCAACAAATGGTGCTGGCAAAATTGAACTGTTACCTACAGAAAGCTGAAGCTGGATCTATACCTCTCACTATACACAAAAATCAATTCAAATTTGATCAGAGAGACCTGGAGGTAAAGACCAAAACCATAAAGATCACAAGAGACAAAATGGAAGCAAGTTTAGAAGGCCTACCCTATGGTATAAATAGCCAGAAATGCACAACCAAGAGAGGATAACATCGATGAACTGGACCTGCTAAAGATTAAATCCCCGTGTACATCAAAAACTTTTTCCACAAGGGTGAAAAGAAAATCTACTGACTGGGGGAAAATATTTGACAATACCATCTCAGACAAAGGTCTCCTAACAAACAGGACCTCCACAAGAAAAAAAAACCACCCTGATAACCCAATTACAAAATAGGCAAAAGGCTTTTTACAGAGGAAGACATTTGAATGGCCAATAGACACATGAAGAAATGTTCAAAATCACTGGAAATAAAAGAGATGCAAATCAAAACTACAATGAGATACAATCTCACCCCAGTAGCAGTGGCAAAGTTTAACAGGACAATAAGCAATAAATATTGGAAAGGCTGTAGAGAGATTGGAATTCTCATACACTGTTGGTGGGATTGTAAAATGGTACACACATTTTGGAAGTCAGTTTGTCATTTCTTCAAAAAGCTGAACATAGAAATTCCCTATGACCCAGCTATTTCACTGGTAGGAATATAACCCAAGGAAATTAGAACTGAGACATAAATGGAAATTTGTACATCAATGTTCACAGTAGCATTATTCACCATCACAAGAACATTGAAACAGACCAAATGTCCAACCACAATTCAATGGATTAAAAAATTGTGGTACATTGACATGATAGAATAATACATAGCATTCAGGAGCAATGATTTTTAAAATTATTATATAACTTAGAAAAGACTGGAGAGCAGTACAGTGAGTGAACTAACTCAGTCTCTTAAGGACAAATACTGCATAAGACCATCATTATAAAAATAGAAGGATAACTAGTAAAATATGTATAAGGGCTCAACGGGAGAAGGACTGGAAGCAGATTGAGGGTGGGTAGGGAGGAAATTACAGGGTTGCCAATTTGATGGGTGGAGGGAGGGGGTAAAGGAAATGGGAAAGATCTGGTAGAGACCTAAAAAGATGGGGTAATGGTGGGCATAATTCAATGGGGATAAATTTTATAAAATACAATGTATGGGAATGATGTTATGAAACAAAACATAAAGGAAAGAGTGAAACACAATGTACACAGACCAGTATAAAATAATTTTTTAAAAAAATCACCCACTTATTAAAAAAACCCAATTAGTCTAAAGGACTAATGGCACATATGAACTTCAATCTCTACTGCCCTGAAACCAAAAGAACTAGATGGTGTCTGCCTATCACTGCTGATTGCTCTAATAACAGATATCACGGTAGAGGATCCTGGGCAGAGCCGAAGAAAAATGTGAAACGAAATACAAAATCATAAAAATGCCGGTATTTGGGGAGCTCTGGTGGCCTAGTGGCAAGAAGCTGCACTGCAATCCCAGAGGTACGTGGTTCAAATCCACCAGATGTTCTGCTGGAGAAGGAGGAACAATCTCCTCATCTACCAGTCAGATTCTATCTGACGGTACACACACAAAATAATAAAATTTTTAAAAATGCTAGTATTATTGGTCTAATGGAGATTGTTGGAATTCCCAAGCCTTAGTCTTCAGCCTAAAATTAAACTCAATCTTGCAGCTCAACTTTCAAGGAAACAATAGATGGGCATATACAGTAAACAATACCACCAGGACTGGTCAAACTAGTGAGTGAGATCAAAAGGACAACATTTGCCCAGAGATAAAACTCAGAACACAAGAAAGGATAGGATAGAAGGATGAATGGAAACAGGAACCACAGAAAGAAGAGGAAGAGCGTTGTTATAATATGGAGAATATGATTGATGTCGTGATACAATATATGTATGAATAATTGAAGGGAAACCCAATTTGCTCTGTAAACTTTCTCTCAAAGCACAATGGCTTTAAAAAAAAAGACAGAAAGAAATAATTACCTAGAAGAGGTTGAGGTCTGTCAACAGCAAAGCCATTAAAAAACCCTCATGCAGTCAAGTCAGAATCAACTATGAGTTGAGCCTCCAGTAGGTTTTCAGAGGCTGTGAATCAGAAGGGAGGAGATAGTTCATCGTTCTTCCCTAGAGCAGCTTGTGATTACAAATTGCCTCCCTTAGGGTTCTTAACAGACAGATGGTCAATCTCTTCCTGTGATTTACAGCCTCTAAAAACCTGCTGGAGGGTCAGCTACGAGTCAGTTCTGATTCAACAGTACATAACAACAACACTTTTAGGTTGGCTACACACAACTCCTTACCCACTAGGCTACCAGAGCTTCCTGGTAATGTCATTAGTATAATGTTTATTTGTATCTGAGGTTCTGAAATTGCTTTAAGAAGCCAAGGAGGCAGAAAGCTTCACTAAATAAATAAGCATGTAAAACAGCTTGGGATGTACACATTGCACTCTCAACTATCCCCAGTACTGCTAGATCCTCATCACCCGGGCCTCTCACACGCCCTCACAGAGCCTTACCAGGCCACCATTATTGCCTGAGCCGTCTTTGTCTCTCGTCCTTCTCGCCGACTCAGATTCCTTGCTGCTTTCACCACTTCTTCCTTGGTTCGGAAATCTCCCAGAGACCACTCATGCACAGGGCTCTCCCCGTACTGTACAAGTCCCACCTATAAACAGGTGTGCAAATAGAAAGTATGCATGGCAGGACTGGAGAGAAAGTATATGAAAGAGAGAATCTGAAAACTTAGATACTGTCAAAGACATCACCTACATTTATCTCTTCTCTCCCTGTCACCTCCCACCTCCTAAACCTATTCATACTGCCTTTCCTTACCTGTATCTGCTCTGGATCAATAAATAGTCTCCCAACTAGTCTTCGTAGAAAAGTCTGAACCTCAAACCAAGGGTAGATACTATTGGAACCATCCAGGACAATGACAACATCCATGTATGTGGGGCAGCCTAAAAGGAAGGGCAGAGAAGGAGAAAAGAGGGGTGGAGGGCATTGGGCAGGAGGGTATCAAAGGGAAAACGTTCAATTAAAATTTTTATTGAGTAATTTTTATCCAAAAGATGGTACTGTGCCAAGCTCGGGTCAAGTGCAAAAATAAAAGAAAGAGAAGGAGGCAGGCATATGAGAAATTAAATACTGGGTGAAAATACAGCTCTGTGCTGTGAAAGAACAAAAGAGAATAAACTCTGGTGGTAGAAGATCAAAGGAAGTAGCAGCTGAGAAGATAATGCTGACCACTGAGACGTCTGAGAGGAGAACATAAGGAAAGGGAGACAGAGGACGACAAAAGGTGGCAGGCACCATGGGAGAGTGGTTAGGTGAACGTTGTGGCCAATGCAGAGTGAGTGGAGGGACACGATAAGAGCAGGCTTTTTGAAGCTGGCTAGCTCCGGTAATGGAGCCGTGGTGCCATTGGGGAACACAAAGCTTTTGTAGGACACTTTAGGTCACAGTGAGGATAGCCATACAGGCCCAATGCCAGGCTCCATCCCATCTACCCCGACCCTGCATCATCTCCAGGGACTGACTCCTTAGGCCCTTCCTCTGGCTCACGTTGGGCTGTGGGTGCCAGGCTCCCCTGGGGCTGGAACGAAGCATCTACATGGGCACATATCCCAGAACTGAAGACAGATGTACCACAGGCACGAGACCAGAGAGGAGCACAGGCCTAGAAGGAGGTGGGAGAAAGCATTACTCTCCATGTGAAAGGTTATCATCAGAGCATGATTCCAACCAAAGGAGGCACCAAGACCACTCCCTAAGTCTTTACCTTGTTTTCAAGGGGCTTTGAACTGACTGACTCCCTCCACATTGACTAGTTTCCCCCACCATAGTTGCTCTTTGGTCTGCTACGAACCTTCTGATCCCACTACCCTTTCTTTGGCTCACCAGGAATCCCCCATCACCACTGGCCTCCAGGAGAGACATCCCCAGGTGCATGTTCACAGCAGGATGAGATGAATTTCCCAGAGGATAGTCACCTGGTTATGAGTAAGGAGAGAGTAAGATTGAGGAGTCAAACACAGAAGTTTTTAAGATCAGGATGATTATGGAGGAAGATTAAAGGATCAAGGTAAGAAAGAAAGTGTGGGATATGGGGGTGCAGAAGCTAAAGCATAAAGGGTCAAAGCGACCAGGGAACTCATATCAGAAACTGGTAATGCTTACCCAAGTGACCCTTGGCACACGGGGCATTAGAGTGTCCCCCCACAGGGCAACGATAAACATCCCCTCTCCGGTCACCTGAAGGTCCATCCCAGGGGGCACCCACCAGCATCCTGGGAAAAGGACGTGAATATGAGCATTGTGTGAGCATGATCCTGAGGCAAGCCAGAGGGAATGTGATGGTTCTGAAAAGCTGAAGCATCAATCACCTCCAAAAGACCAGTGAGCTTTGATTCCCATCTATTGCGCCTCCGTTTCCCATAGCTATCACAGTCCCAACCCCATGGCACTCTTCCTCACCATCGCTGTCCACCCCCGATGTGTTGTAAGACACTGTATCCAAATTCAGCCTCGGGTGGCCCTGGGAATATGCGTGGGCGATGCACATCTAGGTTAAAAGGGGAGCAGAAACCTGGGGGCCAGGATGATAAAGTTAGCATGAAGTGGTTAGTTAGGCCAATGAGAAACCACAGAGAAGCAGTGAGAAGCTTCTCTCGGTCGGCCTGGCCCTTACCTACCACTTTCCTGGTTCCTGTCAATGGCATGTACTCAGAGCCCCAAACACACAGATGATCCTGTGTTTGGGTCCAGATGTCTAACCTGTGGCCCTCTGCCATGCTGATGCACAGCTGTGTTTCCACTCCACCCTGAAATCTCATTCACAGACATGTCTGGAGAGTCAACTTCCTTATTCTTTTCCACATCATTCCTCCCACACATCTGCCTTCCTAAACCATAAGAATCAAAAGAAGGAGAGAGACTTTCCAAAGTCCCAACACAACCATTTCTTTTGGATCCTCCCAAAAGGACACAGGAGGAACAAGAGGGGCTAGACACTGCATGTCTGGGCCTCTTCTCTTTCCATTACTTCTTGACTCCCAGTGTCACTGTCACACTCTCACTCTCCAGTGTTTAGGTCTTGGGTTGATCCCAGCCCTGGAAACCTCAGTGGTAATTAAGTGGGTGGGGCTACTTGCCTTCCCACAGACATGGACTGCCATCCATTCTTACCAAGACTCCCATCACCTCAAAGCTCCCCACAAATCTCTTAACTTTGCAACTCATCTACCTCCTATCTATCCTTCTGCCTACTTACATGGCTTTCCCAACTCTTAGACACCTTTAAAGTGCCCCATCATGTCCAAGTTGAGTCTTCTCTCCCATTTCCAACCCCTTTAAGCTCAGAGCTGGTATTTTAGGAAACAAAGATTACAGGGCAGTGGTGAGGAAAAATTCCAAGCCTCTTATCCTTTCCAGGGCTCTTTCCTCCACTGTTTTTCTTCTTCCATCCACGCCATCACCCTTTCAGACCACCCCACGACCAAAGACTATGGCTTTATCCCAAACCATACCCTTTTTCAGAAAGATATTGTGTTCAAAGGCTGTATGATTAGGATTGCAGCTTGACAGATAAATTCAGAGTTTTTACCATATTTGTTAGTCAGGTATGCTACAGGGATCACTTAGGGTAGGTGAAGGAGAGAAGGGGGTAAAAGAAATGTGTAGGCACGTGGAAGGTCTTGAAAATCTTTGTCTCTTCACTACTCCAGGGTTTAAGACAAAAGTTTTAGATAACCAGATACAAATCATATGTAAAACCCTAGACAGCTTCAGTCCCCTAAATATCTCATTATCAAAGTCTTAATTTGTAGAAAAAAGAGGCAAACACGCATGTGCACGCAAGCATGCGTACAAGTATGCTTGTGTGCGCGCACACACACATACTCACAGAAAGTCCATAGATGTGCAGAGTCAGTGCTAACCTCCCACTCAACATCCGAAGCTTTTAACTGTAAAGGTCCCAAAACCAAACAACCCCAGAACAAACCAAGAAGTTAAGTCCCCTCACCGATCAAGAACATCAGAGGCAGGTGAGAGATGAAGGGGAGCTCCATGCCTGAATGCTCTTCTGTCCGTCTGAGAAGTCTTCTGTCCGTATAAGAAGTCTTCTGTGCCTCTGTCCCTCGCCTTTTCTGTTTTCTTTACTTTCCCTCCCATCCTGCCCCCTCCCACTGGCAGCTAAAAATAAAGTTGGAAGGAATGGGAGGAGTGATGGTGGGGAACTGTGGAGAGCCCCAGATCAAGGGAAAGGAGGATTGAGTGGTTTCAGTCTATTTCTCTGCCTTGGTGCTGCCCTCTGGAGGTCTCATCTCAAACTACAGAGAACACGCTTCTTAACCACTTATGCCCGTCCCTTGCTGTCAGTTCAACTATTTCCTCAGGTCTGAAATACAGTAGGAGTAGGAGACAGAATTTTTATTTTCTAGCCTTATTTTTTCTACTCGACGGCACACAGCAACAACAACAGCCTTATTTACTACAATATGGGATATGAAAAATTAAAGAATTTTCAACAGTTTTATCATCCCCCTCCCTCAGTTCCAACATGGGGAAACCATAGCCACAAATGAAGCCTGACTGAAGTTAATTCATTTAATTCTGCGTGTGGCACTTAATCTATACCTGCTTGTGGCATTACAACTTTTGGAGGGAACATAAACTTGTGTGAGATTGGTTTTGTGGAAGCAGATCATTATTGGATTATGAGACCTTATCTCAACTTAAAGTTCCTGAGTGGAACCACTGAACTTAGCATTTTCTATCTCTATTATCTAGTGTTACGGGCACAGGGGACTCAGATAAACAAAATACATGGGCACAGACCAACAGTGATAAGCAAATTGATCTTTAATTTGCTGACTTGGAAGGTTTGCTCTCCATCCTGAGCATGGGCCACAGTTATTTACAGACTCACTGTACATTATTTACAGCAAGATGCTAGACACATCATTCTGAGGAGGCAAAAAAGGGTTAAGAATGAGCTGGGAACAAATCTCCAAAATCAAAGTGGAAGCAGAAATCTGTAGGTGCAGCTGATGGCAGGACAAAAGACAATTGTGAAGGAGGGTGGTGAGGTAGGCACGAGGGAGGAAGAAGTGTCAAGTGAACTTTGGAGACTGGGAAACAGTCCACTAGGATATAGTCATAAAATGATGGTTTTGAGTTTGAAGGGAGAAAAATCTACCACAAGCCATCTTTGTGAGGGAAAAATAAAAGGCAACTAAAATCTTAAAAGACTAAACTTTCTATCACTCCTTTTTCCCCTAGGAATGATTAAGTTCCTGGGGGGGGGGGGGACCACCAAACCAAAAAACCTGAAAAAGTAAAAGAGACAGATGCAGACATACAAAATCCTGAAAATCTATAATAGGAACAAGGTAGAATAAAAGGAGACACAGACAATATAATAAAGGAAAGAAAGAAAGAACAAAAGCTCAGGTAGAATAAACCATCAGAATAATTTTCTAGAGTCATCATTCTCCCCTCCCATCATCCTCAAATCATCTCCCTCCATCTCCAAACCACTGGATTTTAACTTCAACAAAAAAAGAGTTAGAACAGGACAATATATCAGAAGTGATCAAAGGTGCCATTTCACCAATTCAGGTGCCCCTTCTCATTCTGAAGCAGAATGTCAAGGCTTGAGTCGCAGCCAGGGGTAGATTAGGGTTAGAATAGACAAGATAGAGGAAATGAGGCCACAAAGCCCCACAATACCAGGGCCACAGCGCCAGAGGCCTAGTTTGTCCAGTGGAATGCAGAGATCACAGGCATTCCTGACCACATCCAGAAGAAGGGGAGGATGACCTCGAAGGACTCGAGCCAGGAGCAGGACTTGTAACCGAAGCTTCAGAGCCAGTTGAGGGAGGCTTCCTCCTGGAGCACCTGGTCCTCCAGAACCCCCAATTTCAATTCCTTCTGGGACTCCTCCTCCAGAACTCTTCAACCGCCGACTACAAGCTGAAGACTCTTGTTCCATCAGCAGGCGAATCTCATAAGCATCCCGGCTCAAGTTCATGATAAGGGAAAAGAGATAGTACCTGGAATGTATAGGGCACAATGGTCAGTGAGAGCTCGTACACGTACTTAAAACAGCCTCACTGTAATATTCTCTTTTCTTTTAGTAATAGAAAGGACTACACATGGGAACACCAGAAGTGAATGCTAATGTCTATCATTAAAAATATCACCCTACTGTCTAACAATACATTCTGTGTGTACACCTTAAGATCCCATTTTAAAATTAGTGAGCAATATGAAATCAAGATCAACCTCATCATTCACTTTCTACTTGGCAATCTCAGTATTCATGCATTCAACTTGAGTTATAATAATGTAAACTTCTTTTTAAAGATCAAGTTCTGGTTATTTCAGAGACTCAAGAGACATAAATCTGTTAGATTATAATTTCATGAAGAATAGAGCCCATGTTTTGTATTTTTAATCTACACAGAGTACTGACAACAGTTCTTCACTTAACAAACTGCCCTGCCTCAAAATATATCCTCAATCCACCACATCTTCCTATCTCTACTAACACAAATCTTAACACCACAATCTCTCACCTAGACCAGTGCTTCATAACTGGTCTCTTGGTAGTCATTCTTGTCCTATCCCCTATTCTTGAGCAAACTGTAATCTTATATAATTGGTTGTTGTTGTATACCTTTGAGTTGGAACCGACCCACAGCTGACCTTCCAGTGGGTTTTCAGAGGCAGTTAATCACATAGGAGGATATTGCCCAGCCTTCTGCAGAGTGGCTGGTGGCCTCAAACTACATGCCTTTGAAGTTGCAGCGCAGCTTCTTGCCACTAGGCCACCAGAGCTAGCTAATATAAATGTAAATTACATATTCCTTTGCCTTCTTAAAATTTTTTTGTATCTTCCTTCCTTTACATTTAAAATAAAATCTAAACACCATGGGTAGGTAGCTTTAAAGAGCTCAATAGCATTTGACCTTCACCTACCTCTCTAACATCACTATATTTCAACCATGATGGTGTCTTACTATATTTTTTGAAGGATTTTATATTATTAATCCTCTGCTGAAAAAGCCACACATTGCAGATCAAGTCACTGGAGAAAGTGCATACTTTCTGTTATCCAATCTCCAGCTCACTTTTGCCAGCTCCAATGATGGCCTTTGCAGCCCCCTGACTGTCTTCATTCTGTCTTGTTGTTTCTTGTGCTGTTCCCTTGACATCCTTTTCTTCTCATACAGGCCATGTCACGCAAGTTTGTGTTTGGGTTAATTTTTCTTCACATAATCCAAGACGTCATAGATCATGCCAAAGCCCATAGTCTTGCCACCACCAAAATGGGTTCTAAATCCAAAAACAAAGATGACATCTGGTGTCGTCTTGCACATTTTTAATTTCTGTCTTAGGAACTGTTGCCTTCCCACTGTGAAGAACATCAATGACCATTTATTTCTGCTGTAACAGTCACTTGGCCATGAACTTTCTGGTCTGGATAGTGATTGTGTTACTCATGATGGTGACTATCACCCATGCTTCTTTCTATATTTTTTTGTGCGTGTACTGTCAAATCAGATCTGACTGGTGCAGGAGGAGACTGTCCCTTCTTCTCCAGCAGAGCATCTGGTGGATTCGAACCGCATACCTCTGGGATTGCAGTGCAGCTTCTAGGCCACCAGAGCTCCCGCTTCTTTCTATATTTTTTATCACATCAAGCTTGCTTGAAACTTTACCTCACATTCTTTGGGCACGTTGTCAGCATGGAGTAGCTCCTGGAAAAAGACATTATGCTGGGAAAGATGAAGAATCAGAGAAAGAGATGAAGATCCCCAATAAAACGGACTGACAATGGACTGTAATTGTTATGGGCTGGAGCATATCAGAGATCATGAGGATGCTACAGGATAAGACAAGGTTCAGGTCTGTTGTTCATGGGATCACTACTAGTCATAGTCAACTCGAGGGCACCTAACAACAACAGTCTACCTAGAATGCTCTCCACTACCATCCATCCCTTTCCTTCCACCCCTATCACCAATGTAAATTTTCATACGAATATCTCCAATGAATAGCCTCTCCTAGATGATGTTTCATCATCTTTGCCTCCAAGGAGCACTCTGACTGTACCTTCTCCAAGACATGTGTTTATTCTTTTGGCAGTCCATAGCTGAATATTTTTGTTGTTTTGTTCTTCAGGTCGAAGCTTAAATATCACTTCTCTGAAGCAGCTTTCCTTAACCTCAAACCTGGAGCAGCTATTTACTCTTTATCACACACTATGTGTATAGTAACTTCCATATTACTATATGATATTTTTCTTATTTATATGCTTGTACGGCTCCACAATCAACACTCTTGGCACCCGAAGTCAGGAAATCAAAAGATGAATTGCACTGAGGAAATCTGCTATCAGGGATCTCTCCGAGTACTGAGAAGCAACAATGTCAGTATAGAGACTAAGGTGTGACTTGATCCACACCATGGTCTTTGCAATGCATCAGAGAGAGCTGGACAACAACTAAGGAGTATAAGAAGAATTGATGCCTTTGAGTTGTGGGGCTGTAGAAAAGTTTTGAACTTACCATGGACCACCAAGAGAACAAATAGATCTGTCTCAGAGAGGGTGAAACCAAGTTTCTCCTTGGAGGCTAGGATTTTGAAGCTCTATCTCACATACTCTGGGTATGTGACCATGAGGGACCGATCACTGGAGAAGGGCACCATGCTCAGAAGGGTGGAGGGACAGTGCAGGAGAGGAAGACCCCAGATGAGATGGATTGATACAATAACTAGGGCATTGTGGGTGCGGCAGGCTTCAGAGCTGCTGTACATAGAGTTGCTATGAGACTCAGGCGACTTGATGGCCCATAGCAACAACAATTTATATGTATGTCTCTGTCTGTCTCTTTATATTAGAATGTAAGCTCCATTTGAACCAGAAGTGTGTTTGTCTTGCCTGCTGTATGTATCCCTGTGTCTAGACCATGCTTGCCACATAACATGAACTCAATAAACATTTGCAAAAGAAATTAATATATTCAGCATAGGGATTATTCTATGGAGTTTCTTTTCCATC